TTTTCTACCAGCCATTTTCGAGCTGTTGACAACTAAGGAGGGGTTGTGAGCTGAATTGTAAATAGTGTACAGATGATTACAGAGGTAGGAAGCAATAAAAATATATGATTCAAAAACTTAACTCTTAATTGTGAAATAATATTTAATTTGAGCACTTTAGGCCTCTAAAAAATGAAGAATCTTAAAATGATTGTGGGAAAATCAGATTAAATTCACAGACGATGATGATGCAAGAACATTTCTAAAAGCACCATGAAGATGGCCATGATGACTTCTTTCTCACAGCATGTTGGTGCTGGTGTTTCTCATCGTTAACACCACATTTCCCATAAACCCTGTTGCTTTGCCTCTCTCTCCTAGATGGCACTGCCTCGAGGACAAATATTCATTAACATGTTTAAAGTGATTTTTCACAACCAGCCGTTCCAACCTGGTGGAAGACAGCTGCCACTCTGTGATAACTGCAGTAAAATCTCACAATGTGAATTAAACCTCACTACTGTAAGCAAAACAAAAGTGCACTCGGATGATTCACCTACTGTGTGTGTTTTTTGGGTGAATTTGAAGACAATTAAGCTATTTGCCAGATGTTTTGGTATAATGTAAAGTTTAGGTTGATTGTGTATGCGTTTGTGCTTTTGTGCAGACGTGAGTGATATTAACTGAGAAACAGGAAAAATTGTATGAAAACCACAAACTGTAATAACAAAACCCACCAGAGAAAAGAACTTAATGAAGTGCAAATGTGGTCATAAGTGAGGGAAAAAGTGTGTTTGTGCCTTCTGTTCATGTTGAGGATTCCCAGACAGAAAGCAGTTGTTTTTGAGATCCCACCCCCCGCATGGTTGCCATGTGACGTCAGCACTGGGGCTATATATATAAACCACATGTGTTTGTTGAGGAATGTGTGTGTTTTAACAGGAATGCCGAGGCCCTGGAAAACACACCCCCTGCGTCAAGACACATGAGCAGGACAGTGTGTGTTTTGTCTACATCATTGTTTCTACGTGTGTCCGCATGTTCCCTCTGCTGTTTTAGGGTGTGTTCTTATATTAGCCTACAAACACATAAACATAACTATATATAGAGAGTACATGCACACAAGGACACAAATACACACTTGTAACCGCCCACCACATATCCATCCTTTTGACAAAATCTCACTATAAAACACGCCAAAGCAAACAGTCCATCTATTCATTCACTCTAAAGCTCCACTAAATTAACCACCCAGTTTACTCCACAGCCAAGCATGTGAAAAGGTGACATTTAAACTCACTACAGCCATCATGAAGATTTAACAAGGCTTTAACTTTGAATGTCAAAGTGGACTGTGTTTTTGGGGAGTTGTTTCAGAGTTACATGCTCTTGGCAGACTCTCTGACTTTCCAGGCTTTACTACAGTGCTGACACACCAGAGACTGAACTGGTTTCAGAGGATGAGTTACGGAGATGCTGGAAAGACTAACACAGCTCTTGAGTAAAGAAAATTATTCTTGAGGAGTTGTTGCTGCATATACTATCTCCTGTGTTAGTTGACTTTTTGGTATAATTGATTATTTGAACATTTAACAAATGATCAAAACCAACTATTTACCATCAAGAGTTTTCCAGTCTGATATATCTATAAGTAAGTTACGATGACACTGCCATCCAAACACTAATAAAAACACATTATTCATTACAACACCATAGTTTCTTCCTCTTAACTCATTAAACTGGTAAAGCATTATAAACACATAACCACAACTACCACAACTACCAAATCTGATCTGTGTTCCAAGAAACCATTAATTTCCATGTATTTTCTGTACAATGTGAAAATCAATTAGCAGACCCACAAAGCTTAAATACTTAATAATAATAACAAGAATAAATACATAAATCATAAAAATAAAATATAATCAAAACTCCATCCCAATATGCAGTTGGTGGTGTTTAAATAAGGTACAAGGTACAAACAGTTTCACATTTAGAGTCTCAGTGGAAAAATGTGGTTCTGAAGGAGGTTGAATGAGAGCATATTGTGGTCTAACTTAAACCTTACCAATGAAACCCAGTGATGCCAGTGTCCTACTTATCTGTTTGTGTTTTTCACACACACACACACACACACACACACACACACACGTCTTTTACTTTTTAAAGTGCAGGCCACAAACACTAGAATTAATGCTATTCCAAGCAAACAAAGGTGGGTAACATTATCCCAGTGTCACAGTCACCTGTGACTGGCTTGACAGGTCAGAGGTCACACAGATGAATGAGTGTCTTGTCCGATTAGTGATCTCTGGTTTCTCAACTGAACAGTGCTCTATTATCAAAACTGACCGCTTGTTTGCAGCTGAAAGAAAGAAGCTTTTCCTCTGAGTGTGTGTGTGTGTGTGTGGATGCCTGTGTATCCAAATGGCTGAAAAGCCCTTTTGTGTGTGTATGGTTTTAAAAAGGATGTGATTATAATACATTTATAATACGTAATACATTTTCTGGAAATGTATTGTTAAAATGTATCATATTAAGACAAAAATCCTGTGAATCCAGTATTGTATTAAATCAGTTCTGCTTTATGATTTGCAACATTAACTGCAATGACAAAAATCTTCTTTTGGTATATGTTATGGTATATCGACCAACCCTATTGACCAACACTCCCACATTTTGGAAAACTTTCAGAATAATGACTACCAACACCACAACAGATCACATCAGATTAAAGCTCCCTTATTGTTCACTGAAAGGAATGTAACATGTACTGTTACTCCTTCTGAAACCACACATTATATTTTTTAGCTTCTAAAAAAAAACAAGATACAAAGCGTTCATTAGTAAACTTTAGAGATGCTCGTTTGTCAATTTTTAAACATTGGACAGAGCAGGTTTCCCCTTGCCTCCAGTTTTGATGCTAAGCTAAGTGAGTGGGTCAAAGTGCCACTGATCCCATATCTGAAGATCCATTTACCCTGTTAACAAACAGCAACCAGTGCCAGTGAAATATGTTTGGCTCAATTTTGTGCAGTCTTGAAAAACATGGAGACTTGGGTTTGAATATTTCAGTCAGTGTAAACATCATATGGCTTCAGTGAAGAGCTGGAACAAGCTTTAGTATTACATAACCTATCCGACAGTGAGGAATAATACAGTATTTTACCATTTTAAAGCTCCTTTAGAACTGCATGTTAAGGGCCTAATATATTCGGTCCTTAAGCATATTACTATCATTAATGGCTATGTTCTATCTTCTTTGAAACACGCTGTACAAGCCACATCCAAACTACTGCTCTTATGAAAAATTACACCAGTACATTGACGTAACACACACATCCCCCAGCAAGAAACAGAGTTGTACTCACAATCATGTACTGAGTGTTGTGTTTGACTTGAACAAAGCCAAACAAAAAATTGAAGGATACGAGCTGTTTCATAATAGTTTCCATAGATCAGCCAATCACATAATGACTTATAGTAAAAGATAAGCCAATGAGCACGGCTGCTGTTTTCAGAGGCCTTAGCATGTTTCCTCTCTCTCTATGTGCTTTGTCTAATAGCAAACAGTGCTCTGGATAGATGGGGTCTATTTTAAAGGAGGAGACTCCTGGTCAAGACAAAAGGACTCATTGGGGCATAACCTTCTAAAAGTTGTTATGAGTCGCTTTGTAGTCGTTTTGAGTCTTTGTAATCATTTTGCATCACTTTCTGATTCTGATTGTTTCACATTTCTTTCTAGTAATTTTGATTGTGGTTGATTCAAAACAGCCTTACTTTTAACTGGGCTTTGTAACTTTCCAACAACAAAT